GGGCTGGTCGCTGTTACGAACCACGTCTATACTTGTACGCTGTTGTTAGCAGTGTCCAATGTTTGGTTCAACGTCCAACCTAAGGGAAACTCCAAACAACCCAAACCGGCGTAGATTTTATTCGTTCTTTATTTGTTTGATGGGTCAGGCGAACATGTTTTTGTCCGTCAGTCCAAAGATGCGAGCAACACGGACACACGCATTTCACATTTGCGTTGGATTTTGATTTTTTAATATAAAACAGCCTACAAAGGTCCAGTTTATTTTAATTGAAACTAAAAATTATTAAATGAAAACATTAGAACATTAGTTAGGGGCGGGCGGTATATCTAGGCGTCATCGTTGTCCTCCTCCACCTTGGTCAGGTTGACATAGATCGGCATCTCCATCCATGGGAACGTCTGCTGGAAGGCTCCCAGCTGCTGCTTCGCTTATCGCTCGGCCAACATCGCGCGCTCCGCCGCCTACCGCTAGGCCTTCTCGTCGATCGCGCTTCGCCGCCTGCCGCTAGGCCTTCTTGTCGACCGCGTCCCAGTTCGGTGAATGCATCGTGTAAGCTGGGTCGCGACGGAGGTCGGCCGGGAGTAGAGCACGATGGTGGTGGATCTCTGTCAGTTGCGCGCGGCCTGAGTCTGATACGGCTGGCACCGGAACCCTATCGAGGTTGATGTATGATCCGTGCGGCAGGTTCACTTCGGGATATGGTACCGGCACGTCATGTTTCCAAAAGTACCGGCAACGGTGCACCAACACTTAGAGGCGAAAGCGTGACCCCGCCGACTCAAGACCGACTTATTTGTTCTCATAAACTAGCCAATTACCAATTGTATTACCAAAGAGTAACAACCAAGTCGTCTATACAATATACACTCGCAACCATAGAATAAATTGTAAAGAAGACCAAACCAAGAAAATTCAACCAGGCCGTGGAACAACTAACCAAGTCGTCTATACAATATACACTCGCAACCATAGAATAAATTGTAAAGAAGACCAAACCAAGAAAATTCAACCAGGCCGTGGAACAACTCACATGCGCCAACCATAGGTTCAGTGGGTTATCCTAATGACGAGGAAATGATTCTAATGACAAGCCGCCAGCCAGATGATGTTGCTCCTGCATCCAATAATATTTGGTGATGTCCCTGCTAGAGTTTGCTTACCATCCAGCAAGGTAAGAAGCGACGACCGCCGGCGTACTAAAGTTTATAGGTCATGAAATATCTATCTATCAAAGGAAAACAACACGATCAAGCCTAATTAGATACTAATCAAATGGCATGACCGGAGGCCGTCTATACTAGCGTTCAGACCTGGACGCAGTTAGCAATAGAGTCCAACCTGAACGCTGTTATTCTTGGCGTCCTTTCTATTTTTATAATTTTCACTGGACTGTTACTAGTTTCAGAATTACAGAATTATCATTTACCATTAATAAAAAATTGGCAATTTAATAGTTAGTTGGATTTCTGTGGGCAAATCAGGTTAAAGAGTCTTGATCGTATTGGAGTAGGCCGGCCAACAACCCTGCACGCATCTGCCGCGCTCCGCGTCTTGGTAGCAGATGACGCCGCGAATACGGCAGCCGTCCGGCAACCCAGCGTGGATCTGTGGCGCTCCATGTCTTGGTAGCAGGCACTTCGTACTGGCAGGATCCACACCCACCATGAACCTCCGATAGGCAAGAGATTCAGCATGTCATGACAGCATCTCATCGAGTACGAAAGAAATTCAGTGTCCGTTGTGCGTGCAAAGGAGGAAGAGGAGAAACCAATACCTCTGTGGGTTGTGGTCGTTAGCCTGTACTACTTCGGAACGATCCAAATCCACCATGAACCTTCAGCATGCCATGTCAACATCTGATAGATCACCTAAAGATGGATCGTGATGCCACAAATCCCACAAAATATTCAGACTCCACTGTGGGTGCAAAGGAGGAAAAGGACAAAGCGATACATCGATCGGCTGGGCAAGCGAGAGATTCAACATGTCATGACAGCATCTCATCCACCATGAACCTTTAGCATGCCATGACAACATCTGATAGAGGACCTAAAGAAGGATCGTGATGCCACAAATCCCACAAAAATTTCAGAGTCCTCTGTGGCTGCAAAGGCGGAAAAGGACAAAGCAGTACTTCTGTGGGCTGGGCAAGCGAGAGATTCAAAATGTCATAACAACATCTCACCCAGCAATACAGCATAGCAGCCGCCCGTGTCGTCCTCCCGCAGGCGACCCGGGCGAAAACCTAGCTGCCGGGGAAACCCCTCCTCTCCAGCCTTCCCTCCCCTCTCCGCCGCCGGCAAGCGCTGCCGGGGCGGCGGGGTCCTTCTTTTTCCCCCTCTTGCGAGGTCTGAGCAGCGCGGGGTGCTCAGCCGAGGTGAGGGGACGCGGGCGGAGCGGCCAGCGGGCGCGGCCTGAGGCGCGTGGTTGGACACGACGGGCGCGGCCTGAGGTGCGTGGCTGGGCGTGACAGGACGCAGGAGGGCGCAGTGCGGTCGCAGCCGGCGGATCCGGGACAGTGCGTGCGCGAGGTGCGCAGGCCGCGCTCCCAGCGCGGTGCGGCTGCGTGCAGGGCGAGGGATGCGCGCGGATGGCACCCCCAGCGCAGATCTGCTGGTGGTGGCCTTGCAGGCTCCGTCGGCTCCTGTGGTTTACGTGCGCCCCTCGATGGCCCAGCGGTCGGGCGGCCGGTTCTCGCCGTGTACAAGGTGAGCCTGGAGTAGATCTGCGCGAGGTAGCTTGGTGCAGAGGTGCGTGAGGTGGCTCCGGATCTGCCGGAGACGTGAGATCCGCAGGCGGCAGGGCCCAATCTGGGTTTCTGCGGGCCTGCGGCGGAGGGTCCTTGCTGCGTGCTGCGCAGGGCCGAGATGTGGTGCTGTGCTCGCCGTTGTGGAGGGGGTTGGCCGGATTGGCTGGCCGAGTCATGGGTTGGGGTGGGCCTGGCTGCCGGTGAAAGTCGAACTTCGGTTGCAACCGAAGTCATCGATGACGGCGCCTACGGGCACCGTTCCCTTGTCGAAGGCATCGATGTTGTAGTCCTCCCACCCTTTTCCCACATGCCATGGGGAAACCCTAGATCCGGCCTTCCGGATCAGACGATGGCGGCGCTACCGGCTTTGCTCAGTGTCGTATTTCCTCTTGGGGACATCGTCTTGGTGGTGGACTCGGTCAGAAAGACTCAGGGATTGCGGAGGTGGTCGACGACGGCTAGCATGACTTTTCCGTTGGAGAGCAGCAGAAGCATCCTCCATATGCAAGCTTCGCCAGGCGAGTTATGTCAACCAACCTCGCGGGATCAAGGCGGCATATGTTTGCTCTATCGGACATAGCGTTCCTCCTCGGTGTCGTCGAGATTCGTGGAGATGCTTGTGGCAGCCCAGATTGATACGGCGGTTTCGGTGTGTACTCTCGTAGCGGCGAGACGCTCGAGTGCCCGGCCGGGTGTGTTGTGGGGTGTTGGCCTTTTGGCGTGTTGTATATGTTGTGACGCTTTAGGCCTAGTCTAGCTAGGTGCTGTTTAAGGTTTTCGTCCGATTTTCCTTGATAAACCGAGCAACCTTTTTTCTCTTCTTTTTTGGCACTCGTCTTATGCGGTGCATTCCTTCTTTGGGGTGTTTTTGTAATACCTTCTTCTGATCAATGAATTTGGTAGCTCTCCTGCCAACATTTGAAAAAAAAACATCTCACCCAGCAGCTAAAGAAGGATCGTGATGGCCAAAATCTGACAAGAAATCAGTGTCCACTGTGCACGCAAAGAAGAAAGAGGAAAAAACGACAGTTCTCTGGGCTGTGGTTGTTCCTCTGCGCTCCGCGGAAACTAAAGTGATACTTCTGTGGAACGTATTTTAAGAAGCGAGTAACGGATCTGAAGACAAACATTTCTAAACACGCTACACTTTTTTCCTATAGAGGAACTAATTTAACTGATGAAGAAAACCAATTAACATAATTTTTTGAAGAAAACAAAATAACCGTTTGCAAGGAGACTACATATGTGCCAACATAAAAATAGAAAAGAAACAGTCAGTTTTTATGAAACAGAGCAGTAATACAAACGAATACATGTTGTCTTAAATAGGTAAGCAAATGTGCCTAACGCTATTTGATAATATACGTCAACAATTATATACAGGCCTTAGATAGACAAGCAATAAAGTCAATTAGTCAAAGCAAGGTGTGCATAGTAGAAGCATACATAGGTATGCCACTGCGTTAACCCAAAAACAAATGTGCAATTGGACAATTAATATAGGTCGGTGGACAAAGACAAGAAAATTTTATGTATGAATCATCTATTGTTCATATGTAATTACCCAAAAAAAGAATGTCGATGGAAGACGAACACCAAAAGATGTGTACTGGAAGAGGAAAAACTAACAATTTGTATATTCATATCCAATATCGGTTAGTTGTGGGTCCAAACAAATGGAAGGACAAGCAATGGAAATACGCGACCGAAAGTATTATATTAGCATTTCTGGAAGCATGTCCAGACATGATAATGCACAAAACAACAACAATGATGATCTTGCAGTTGTACTTAGACATTAATGTTACATGTTAATGTTTGTTGAGATGTTTTAAAAAGTGCAGATAGAATACTGAAAACAATGGATTAGAAGAAGATGATAAGGAATAGCTAAAAAAAGGGTACGAAGCACTATATAGATTGGCATGCCATGCGTGCAGCACAATGTTTGCTTTTCTGTTGTCACGTACCAAGTAAGATACCACCAACTTAATTTATACAGCAAAAAAGTCCAATGAGTACACTAATTTACCCTCATGCTAAGATAACATAATTAGAACAATCACAAATGAGGTTCCACACTTTGTTGATGATAACTTTTTATGTGATTGTACGTCCTAACAGCTTCCAACAACTCAAGGACAATATAGATACAAAAACACATAGAACATCTAGCTGCGCAAATGCGCGGGTTACCGTGCTAGTTCTTGTTATATAAAATGCTTCATCTCCCTTCTTGCCACACGGGTCACCGAAGTGCTAAGACCGTGGTAACGCCCACAAGCACAAGCACTACAACACAATTTGCAACCCTGAACAGAATCAGGTTGCGCACGAAAGCGCCGACGAGTGGATATTGCTGCACGACGACACTGCGACGTCCTCTAGAGCCACATTGCCACAGGTACTTGGATAGCATGCGGGACGACACCCGAGGGCTGACAAAGTGCGAGACCACGGCCAACAGCACGAAAAGGGCATTGTGTATGATGTTGTAGGCGATGCCGCGGACAGCCGCCGTGCTCGTGACGGCGGCCAGGGCCGCGTAGAATGACAGGACCATGCTCACCAGGGACAGCCACATGTCTTCGCCTGCAAAGCTACCATCCATGACGTGATGGTGGGTTCGGGAATGACCTCTGCCCTGCGGCTGCGTGCCCATCGTCTTGGTCTTCTTCTCGGGCAACCTTTGGGGGTTGTTTTGGGAACTGGACCGCTGCTTTGCTCCCTTAGCACCAAAATGGAAAATCCTCTTCATCCACACGAGCTGGCAGGGTGCGTGCCGTCCTTCGTAGCCGCACGCGTCACCCACAGGTGGGCACAAGGGCGCGCGACCAAGTCTGAACTACCCTTGACTTGCCCGCTGCAGGGAGGTGCCTCGGGAGGCCGCTGTGTCTTGGCCATTCGCCAGCTCTCTGGAGAGGGGGCCTCGGGAGGCGAGGGCCTGACGAGGGGCTTGGCTCGTGGCGCCCGCCAGTGGGCCTCTGCCATGCGTTGTGCCCTTGACCTGGATACATTGGGTTCCATGGTCCCGACAAGCACCTCCGAGAGAGTAAGCCGACACATCATCTTGAAATTGACGAAGTCGCCGCAGATGCCTTCGTACTTGACGAGAACGTCTTCTCCCACTGAGTGGACATCACCGGAAGGCCTGAAATAAATCCAGTAAAATGCGAGCTCCAATGTCAAATCTGAGACTTGAACTCTGGTGGGTAGGGGATACCACTGTCCTTCTAACCATCGAACCACAGGTTGGTCTTCATGTTTACATGCCTTCGGTTTTACTGTATTTATGCAAATTCCGTCAAACTGAATCTTTTGACAGATGCGTAGTAAAATTTTGCCACACTTGCAGACAGATAGATAGACAGAGATAAAATCCTAAATCAGCTCAATTAAAATCTTAGATTCATCTTGGAGGAAGTAGAAGGGATGGTCGCAGGTCAAGCAGTTTTGGCTTTTCTGAACATGAGGGCACAATGGTCTTTTCCCGTGCCGGTTAATGCCGCCAAATGAAAAAATGGATGGAAATGTCATATAAAGAACAAAATTTAGATAGATGACCAAATAGAGAAGAAAATGATTTTTAGGAGGAAATACGAGAGTAGATTTTTTTTTCAAATAGGGCCAAACAAGGAAATCTCTGTTATATAAAGTACATATTACATATGTCATATGAATATTTAAAATATTCTTGTTACATAAAATGCTTTCATCGTCTCCCTTGCCGCACGGTCACACAAGCCCTGAGACCGTGCTAAGGCCCACAACCACTACAACATAATTTGCGACCATGAAGAGAATGAGGTTCCGCACGAACGCACCGACGAGTGGATACTGCTGCATGACGAAGCTGCGCCGTCCTCCATCGCCACATCGCCACAGGTACTTGGACAGCGTGCGGAGAGGCACCTGAGGGCTGACCAAGTGCGAGACCACGGCTAGCAGCACGAAAAGCGCATTTTCTGTGATCCAGTAGGCGATGCTGCGGACCGCCACTGTGCTCGTGACGGCGGCCAGGGCCGCGTAGAACGCCAGGACCATGCTCACCAGGGACAGCCACAGGCAGTGCAGCGCCGCCGCGAAGTTCTTCCACGACCCGGCGGAGCGCGACGCCTTGCCGTAGAGGAGCAGGACAACCGCGAGCACGGAGGTCACCAAGGCGAAGCTGTCCAGGATGAGGAAGCACTTGAAGATGGGCTCATGTTGAAGGACCGCCATGCCTTTGATGACCTCCTTCCCCTCGGGATTGGTGCCGCCGCCGCTCTGCTCGTATGAGCCGGGCAGGCTGTTGGCGGCGGTGAAGGCGACACTGGCTACGAGGACGGCGATCACCGCGAGGCTGTCAGACGTCTTCTCTATCGCCTTCGTTATCTCGCGGCCGTCCCACTGCTGCACGCGGTCCCGCCTCTTGGGATGGGACTGCGCTCCGAACGCGGCCAGCGTCGTCACCAGGCTGACCATGGAGAAGAAGCTGGTCGATCTCACAGCGAGGTCTAGCGGCGTCTGGCCGTCATTGTTCATGACGTCGTCCCGCACTTTGCCCTTCCCCATCAGGGCCTCCGCAACGGCCGGCGCGCCCGCGGCCACCGCCAGGTGGAGCGGCGTGTTGCCGTCCCCGTCCTGTGCGTTCAGGAGGCCGCGCAGCGTTCGTTTCTTGATGGCCAGCCGCACCACCTTGAGCTGGCCTCCCCTGGCCGCGGCGTGCAAGAAGGTCCCGCCGTGGTCGTCCCGGAGCTCGGCGGCGTCGGGGCAGGCCTTGATCAGCGACTCGGCGACGCGGTCGTGGCCCATCCCCGCCGCGACATGGAGAGCGGAGAGGCCGCCGGAGTCCCGCATGCGCACCACGCACGGCGGCACGGCGCGTAGGATGGCGCCTACGACGGAGAGGTGGTCGCCGGTGGACGAGGCGAAATGAAGTGGAGTGCTGCCGGTGTCGTCGGCTTGGCTAGCCAGGGATGGGCCACATGGCGTCCACTCGAGTAGTAGCCTCACCATTTCTGGCAAGTATAATACAATAAGCTTATGTAAGCGGGCTATAAAATTTAAAATATTATATTTCTGCTGACATGGATGAAAGGAAAAAGAAAAAAAGAAGAGGAGCCGGCTACAGAATAAGTGCTTGCACTATGTGAGAGTGGAACGTGGGTCATGCATTAATAAAGTAGCACATCTTTACATCTAACTATTGTACGTGCCGGCTATAATTTTGGTTATAAATGACATGGCAATATCATGTAGCCATCAGCTGGCTATACTATTAACCATGCTCTAACAAATCTGCATGCACTTTCAGAGTCCACGGATCAACAAGGAGCTCCCTAGCTAGCTAGCTCACCTGAGCCCTGGAAAACGGCGGCGTGCAGAGCATTCTGTGAGCTCAGGCCGGCAGACGACGCGTTGCCGCACCTGGTCGTTATCGATCTGACGGTTGGCAAAGATCCGCTCATCACCGCCAAGTACAGCACCGACATGCCGGTGTTGTTAACCTCAGAGGCTAGCCCCGGCGCCACGGAAACGATAGCCTTAACTGATGCGCCATGGCCGAGCCTCGCCGCCAGATGAAGGGCCGTGTTCCCAGCCTCGTTCTTGCACCACAAGGTGCTGTCATCTCCGCCCTCGCACGAGAGCTGGACGAGGAGGGACACGACCTTGCCATGCCCTGCCCTCGCCGCGCAGTGTAGAGGTGTGTCCAGAGTCCATTCCGGGAAGAGAGCAAGCTCCTGTCCCCGAAGCTCATGAGACCATGGATGAGCTTGTCATGCCCGTGCTCCGTGGCCAAATGAAGAACGGTGTTCCCCTCCGCGCTGACTTGATGTATGCCTGAAACAATTCAAACTAGTATGGTTAGATCTCAATCATGTTTTTCCAATTAGTATGGTTAGATTTCAATCGACTAAGACATAATCAAGTCTATGTCACGTGTCATAACATGTAAGAAAGAGATAACAAAAACGAAAAAAATTACACAAATATGAATATACTTAGACCGAGACTTAGCAATCCCGTTGAATAAAATGCTGGTATGCATGTTCGGCTACCATTCAAACATCTGGGCTCCCTCCTAAAAAACGCTTGTTCCCAGTTTGAATGAAATTTCACATGAGATTAGTAAATCTCAGTTAGGTACGAAAACATATAAAAGCATCTCCAGCCACACCCCCGGAGCCCCTCAGGGCCACTTTTTGTGTGCCGGCAATGTAAAAAGGGCAAAAAAGAAACGGCCTAGTCGTGCCCTCAAGCGCCCCAAAACTTCAAAATAGCACCAGCAAATACAGAAGAAACCCAGCGCCTTAGGAGGCTGTTGGGGGCGCCGGCGAAAGCAACAACCAATCATATTCCCTCACGAGCCCTTTTTCTTTGCCCAGCCAATCACTTTTTGCCTCATGATTTTCTTGGGGGCACCAACGGCTAGGAAAACATACTCGCGTTTCATCCGGCGAAAACATTTTACCCTCAAGACGTGCTATTTTTGGCCCGGTGATTGTCCTGAGGCCCTCCGACGGCTGAAGATGCTCTAAGTGACAATTATGTGTACACGAGGATGACCGGAGATCCAGCTAGTAGCATACTATGCGCAAAAAAATAAAAAAGTAGCAGACTAGCAGTTAAGGCAGACATTACCGGCAACCTGATTAGCAGCGGCGGCGGCGCCACCGTGCTGTTGCCGAAGCAGCGCCATGGCTTCCTTCTTTCTCCCCCGGCACAGAGCAAGGTACAGCTCGGGGCTCATCGTGCCGCCATCGCCCGGCTGCGGCGCCGTCGCGGTAGCCGGCGAGCAAGGACCCGCACTGAGCTGGATGGAGTGATGCACGAGGTCCATCGACTGATGACTATTCCGGTCTGATCACGCGGTCTGCGCGACGCGGATATATGGCGATGGGCTGTGAAAGTGTCTGGCAACACAGGCTCGTGGTTCACAGAGGAGCCGCCATGGATGCATGCATAGCAAGTCGTCGCCAAGTCAGCTTCTCCACAGTCTGCTGTGCGTCGCGTTCGCGGCCGCAGTGACAGCGGCCGGTCAGGTCCTGCGCGTCCTGAGGACAGGCATGAAACTTGAATGTCGGCCAAGTACAGACCACACACACACGGCTCTTGTATCTATTTGCACCATAGGTTGTAGCAACGCGGCGCGTAGAAATTTGACTACGAACGAGTGGGATACCGGC